AGTATTTCTTTATAGGCTTATAGTAGATAGAAACCTAAGCCTCTCTAACTAATTATTATAGAAGGTTTTACTTTGCCTTATTCCGCTATATCTAGACCGGTTAGACTCTTAAATTTAATACGTATCTCTATTAGCCGGCTATAGTTAAGTAGCTCTCTTATATATATAGAGTGCCTTAATAGAGGTTATATCTTTTAAGGGACGTACTATATTAATATATTCTTTACTATTCTTAACGTTATCTTAGAGCGTCTTTCTAGTACCTATTAATAATATATTATAGCTCTACCTCGCGCGAGTTGCCTTCTAAGAAGCGCGCTACCTCGAGCTAATTATTACTATCTCTAATATTATCTTAAGGAGTAGTCTTAGTTAGGCCTATAGTTAATATATACTCTCTCTTATACGAGGTATAATAGTTTTAGTATCTATTAAAGAGGCTCTACTCGTCTTCGATATCTTTTACTAGCTATTATTAGTAGGCTAGTTATAGGTAGAATAGCGCCTTTTAAGAGTTATATTAGACAGGATATTATCTAGTAGGTCTTAATCGGATAGTATTTATAGAAAGACTTATTTAGATATCTTAGATAGCTTACGTATACTAGTATTACTCTAGAGATATAGTAGTAGAGATTAATACTCTCTACTAATATATACTTAAGTTAAGACTCTCTCTACGATATTTCGGCTAATATCTCGTCTATATATAGGTTAGTTTTAGCCTTCTAAATCTTTTAGTACTATAGGATATAGCGCTAATAAAAAGATATATTAGAGAGACCTCTATTTAATAATATTTTATTAAACTCTTTACTCTAGCTAGAGCTTAAACTATTAACTAACTAACTACTTTTAAGATTATAGTCCTAAGTATAAGAAGGATTAAGATAAGCGTAGTTATTATCCGACTTATAAAAACTATTACTAACTCGTATATAGAGAGCTTCTAGATTAAGAGATTTTATCTATATTATTAGAGTATTATAATTCTATAAAGATATAAGGAAACTATATATATAGCGTAGAGATAGAGATCTATATATAGACGTAGAGAGCGTATAGTTTAAGAGTACTCTATTTTATTCTATTCTATAAAATTACTCTAGACTTACTAGTAATTAGGAATATATCTATATTATACTTAG